GTGTATCTGTTGAAGGATTTTAGGTAACTAGATATTAGTGTTTATGACGGTCCTCGGGCTAGCCGATCACGTACTGTGGAGACGCGTCGACATCTGGTAAACATCCTGCCCGGAGAATAGGATCTGCGTGTAGCAAGCTACGGGACAGAAACCGTTGGAATGTTTACTGCCACGTGCCGCTACAAATCTTTCTTTTAAGGAGAGCTATAGGATTACTCAATGCCTTTGTTAGATGGAGAGTTCGTCCCGTTGACCGCGGCCACGTTCGGCGACTAATTGTCGCCTTGAGCTCAAGCTCATTGTCACAAGTCTCAAACAAATACAATTGGTTAGAATGACGGCAAATCGTTTAGTTACAACTATAGATTTTAATTACAATGTTTTTATGGATTTTCCCGAGGTTTCAGAGGGAAGGCACCGGTGTCCTCTTATCTCCGACAAATATTTAACTTACTCTTGGTGTGTTACTACATGGAAACGGACTACCAGGACCATCATGATTGCCTAATCCTGAACCTCCACCATCTCCACCCAGTGGGGATCCTTCAGGACGATGTGGGCTACCGCCAGGACTTTGACCTCCACCAGCACCAGCCTCTGGCCATACATTGAAGATGTCATTGAAGTCTCCCATGCCTTCCATACCTTCTGGCATATCATCGTTTAGTGCAGAAAATAGCTCATCATCTCCTAATTCTGGTCCATTAATATGCTGCTCTTGAAATGCAGTCTGTGATGACTGTAGCAGAAAAATGATCATTTTTAGACATTCAGTTACATTTAAATTTTTTCTCTTAAAAAAAAATTTGTACCTGTGTGGTAGCAGATGTAGGAAAAACGAGAATATGAGTGCACGTAACATCTTGTGGTGTAGATAATTGGCAGTTTACTGACGCCTGACTAAACCTTTCATCAGGTGTGAATTGATCAGCCATAAGCCTGAGAGTTGAATCTGGTTCAAGGGAGACTAGACAGGCGCTAAGCACACAAGGTGCTGCTGACGGATATAAAAGACTGCACTGGCCACATATTTCTTTAAGGTGTTTAGAGGCTTTGAGAAGCGCTTTTCTGGATAGTAACCAGCTCCAACCTTTCAACTCACCATGTCCAATACGTCCCACACGACCTACTACTAACCTCCAAGGTTGTACCTAAGTATGGAAACATCCAATTTGAGTATAAAATTTTTAATCCAATTATATTTTCATTATTTTTAATTTTTATGATTCAATATTTTAAACAACATTTGATATTTTGTTGTGAGCTACTTACACCTTGAGACATTACACCAAGTATGAAATCCATCAATTTTTGTAATCCAATTCGTCTGGCTGAGGCGCGTTTTCTTCTTTTTCTATTTGGAATATCAATGTTGATAGTAGCTGTTTCAAATATTTCTCCTCTATCATCAGTTGCAACTGCTAGCAGCCATGATTGATCTTCGCTAAGACAATAGCTGAGATACAAAACTGCACACTCTTCTGGTCCAGCGATGCCAAAAGACTCTGGTGCTTCGCTTTTCGCCCGTAGTGGAGCCAAGACGTAGGCGGGTGAGTACAACCGGTACGGGGC